CTCTTTCTCTATTTCTCTCTCCCTCATCCCCCCCCCCCATCCCTTTATTAGCACTATGAACTTCTGTGTAACTTTTTTTCCATATGTCTTATGTAGTTGCACACATTTTTCTTGTTGGTGCTCAATCCTCCATTCAAGTTGACCATGTCCTTTTTATATTACTCCTGTTAGTATGTGAGAGATTCCCTGCTTTCTGGCACAAGATAGACCAGGCTCATCTTGTATATTTCCTAACACAGACTTGGAATCAGCCATTTCTACCAAAAATTCTTGTTCTTTTTAGTGAGGAATGGTTCTTAGAGACTATAATCTGGATGCTAGGGCTTCTCATTGACATTGGATTGTAATTGCTTCTGAGCTTTTTTAGTAGACAGAATTATATCTCATTATTTTCTAAGTTTTTTTAATGTTTTATTTATTTTTGAGAGAGAGAGAGAGAGAGAGAGAGAGAACATGAATGAGGAGGGGCAGAGAGAGAAGGAGACAGAGAATCCAAAGCAGGCTCCGTACTGTCAGTGCAAAGCCTGATGTGGGGCTCGAACCCATGAACCGTGAGATCATGACCTGAGCTGAATTATAAATAAATTATCAAATAAATAAATTATCAAAAGCCAATATCCTCAAGGGTAGTAAGGTTGAAATGACACTTAACCGACTGAGCCACCCAGGTGCCCCATCATTATTTTTAAAGTAAGCAAATATATCTATATTAAAAGCAAAACTTCTTGCCTATATTGAGGAGGCCAAGTGTTTGTTGAATGACATTTTATAAAACTTTTCCAACTACTACCTGACATTGTTTGCTTCCAGCAAAAACAAAAGTCATTTTTGCCCTTATGTGATATGTGTTCTTGAGATATTCTTGCACAAGCTCTTCTAGCCGTTTTTTTTTTTTTTTGGCATAATATTTACTGTAGCTCACTTCTAGATGAGACAACTGCTCTTACATTCTAGCTTTTATTAAATTTGAAAGTGATCTTAGATGCTGTGATTTTTTGAATAAGCATGCATCTATAGTAGTGTGCCTTCTCCAAACTAACATAGTTTTTTAGAGTCTAGACTGTATGATACAAACCACAAATCAAGGAAGGAAGATGTAATTCAATTCTATAAAATAGTGATTCAACATTTACTGGATTAATCTTTCCATTAGCAACCTGACACGAATTAGTCATTGTGGAGGCATAGTGATTCATTGTGGTCCCTGGCCTTGGGAACTTTTTTCTTAAGTGGAATAGGATAGATGAGATATTTATTCTGTACCAAGAATAAGGATATTAATGTTTTTGAGATTTGAAACTTCAGATAGGCTTAATTTGTGGAGCACATTTGTATATAGTAGCAATAAATTATCAAAAGCCAATATCCTCAAGGGTAGTAAGGTTGAAATGACATATGTGAATTATAGATCCCTTAAAGGGTACTGAGTAAAATTAAGGATTTCTCTGTCTATCCCAATGTATTGCTAACTTTAAGAAACTCATCTCAGAGAATGACATTTTCACTCTCAGGCACAAACTAGTGGGATGCAACCAGTGTTCTGACCAAGAGGAGTATTTTTAAAAATATTTTCTTAGTTCTCAAAAATAAATAGTATATCACAGATGGTTCCAATACACTTCACCCAATGAAAGGAAAAAGAGAACTAATTATACACAAAAGTTGGGAGTATAAACTTTTAGTAGATAGTCTCAGTTTGGAAATTGGATTAAGAAATGAGAAAATGTTGTTGGCTGGAGATCATACAGCCTTTTGTGTAAGCCAGAGTTTGACTTTCATTAGAGTTCTAGTATTAAGAATTTCAGTCAGAGTTTGAAACTTATTACCTTCATTATATGCCTACTTTGTGCAAAATATTATGCTGAGCACTCTTTGGAAATTGAGGTGGGGATGGAGAAAAGTAACAAGATACAGACACCATATGGAGATGGGGGTAGAGGAGGAGAGGAGAAGGTAACGAGAACAGGAAGGTAACAAGGAGAATGAAGTTGTTTGAAATGACGTGAAGAAAACAGATTTATAACAATTTATTGATGATGTCACCTAGTACAGATTGAAAAAAGTGCTAAATTGGTATTACAGATAAGCTGTTGTAAGAATACGAAGGGGAGAGAGAATAGTCCTGAGTGGTGGGTGATTGTGAAAGACTTCAAGGAGGAGGGGATATTAAACTAAAGCCTTGAAAGATGGGAGAGAATCTTAGAGGAAGAAGCATAGAAGGACGTTCTAGGTTGAGAGAATGGCATCCTCCAAAGAGATAGCGAGTGGGATGAGAAATGAAACTGGGAAGTTAAGTTTAGGGCCAAATTACAAAAGTCCAGAAATATCTCAGTAATAAGTCTAGATTTTAATGATGTTTGCTCTTTATCTAGGCCAAGTCTTTATCTCATACTCTCCAGAGTACTCTACCAATAAACAAGTGTTCTCCTTCACACTTTAGAAAATACACCCCTCTTGGGGGCGCCTGGGTGGCTCAGTGGGTTAAGCGTCGGACTCTTGGTTTCGGCTCAGGTCCTGATCTCACGATTTCGTTGAGTTTGAGCCCCATGTTAGTACGGAACCCACTTGGGATTCTTTCTCTCTCCCTCCTTGTCTGCGTCCTCCCCTGCCCCCATCTCTGTCTCTCTCAAAATAAAGAAATAAACTTAAAAAAAAAGAAAGAAAGAAAATACACCCCTCTTTATGACATTTTAACATTTTTTTCCATCTATAACTCTACTATGTGTACCAGCAGTCTGATTTTCAAGTTCTTTGGTAAGAGAAATTATTAACACTATAAATAGGCATTTTTAAATATTCTTCAAATAATCATGCCTATCTGAATACATTAGCATTTAATGTTAATATGAATTATTCAGGGAATACTCAAAGGACATTTATAAATAGTATTCAGCATAAAACAGACAAAAATGAATAAATATTACCCTAGTTTAATGAATCCTCTCAAATATCCTTATTTACCATTTGCCCTATTGTATTTGTAGATTTGATTTTGCCAAGTATCCTGTTTCCTAAGTTGTGGGAGAGAGATTTTATTCTTGAATCTGAATTTCATGTAGATCTTACCTTATAAAAAACAGTGCATTATTTTTTATTGCTCAACAAATGTTATCACTTACATTTGATGAGTTACATCTTGAAGTTTTGTGTAAGAGTGGTTTTGCTTTGATTTTCATCTATTCAGTTTTCTTATCTGTTCATTTCAGTTCTCATTTGTTCAGTGGTCTTTTTTGCTTCTTAAAAGTATTTTTTTGCTAGAATTTTTCTAACTTGCAGAATTCATGGTAAATTTGAAAGATTATGCAGGTCCTTCATGGATATCATTTTTCTTCTGTTCTCAACATTATAGGAAAGCACTTTTTCAAGAATTGAGATCATTTGAGTTTTTTTCCCAGTGGGCTTTGTATTAGAACCACAAAAATTAATATTGTATTTAACTAAAGTGAAAGGATAAAAGTTTTTTATCCTACACTCTACTCACTTCCCAGTCTTCTACAACTGTATCTGCCTTTGTTCTGTTCTTTTACTATTTATCACACAATTGTCAACTGTATTATTTAATACTGGACTTGTTTTACTTGAGCTACTGTTGTTCATTTTCTTGAAACCTTACACTGGAATGTAACTCAAACCTAGATTTATTTCAGTGTTGAATTTGACACTTGAGGCAATGTTACTAAATTAGGAAAGGAACAGATATAATGTGCCCATCCTGAATGGTTTCCTATAGTAGACACTGTGTTTTTCTAGTGCAGTTTTTGCTACAAGCAGTAATTCATGAGATCAGTGAGTCAGTCAGTGCACAGCTATTTATTATTGGTCATCTACAATATACAAATCAACTATATGTGCATGTAATATCTATCCTTACCTTCTTCCTGAACTCCAGATGCACATATTCTACTGCCAAGGAGACATCTCTACTTAGATAGCAGGCATCTCAAAGTTAACACGGTTAGAAACAAACTTCCAGTTTTTTCACTGACCTGTACCTCTTCTAGTTTATTCATCTTAAAAATTGGCACCACCCTCTACCCAATTATTTAGGCCAAAATTTTGGGAGCCGTTCTTGAATCCTTTGTTTCCCTCACCCCAAATTTGTTCCCTGCTCTACCCCACCACCTACAACATCAGCAAGGCTATTGACTCTTCCTACGGACAATATGCGTGATGTGCACACAGGCCTTTCCTGCACTCCTGCTACCCCAGTCCAGGCCACCGTCGTCTCCAGCTGGACTTCTGCTCCTGCTCCTAACTCCCCAGTTCATTTTTCCCTCTTTTATAATAGATTCTCCACAGATACCTAGAGTGATCTTTTTAAAGCATATATTAGGCCGTGTTCATGTCTCACTTTAAACTCTCTAAAGCCTTCCTCCCACACTTCAACATCACACTCCTAACCTTAGCCTATAGAGCTGTATGTGATCTGGCCCCTGCCCTTTTCCACTCTTGCCTCATTTCACACCATTCCCTGCGTTTCCCCTACATTCCAGCCACACTGGCCTTACTTTTCTCTAACTCACCAAACTGGTTCTTGCCTTGGAACCTTTGCACAGTTAGGAATGCTGGAATGCTTTGCTCCTTCCCTGGAATGCTTTGCTCCTTCCCTGACCACTCAGTCTAAAGTAAAGTAAATTAAGTTGCTGCACCGTGTAGTATACGTATTTTAATGTCTTCAGTTTCATAGCACTTCTCAGAATGCAAAACTTCTTTTCATTGTTTATAATCTTCCCCCCACTAAATAGTATTCCCACTAAAAAATATGACTCTAGGAAGGCAGTGACCTGTGTACTTACTAATGTATCCCCAGCATCTGGAACAGTGCCAGACACATCGTAAATAGTCAGTGGGTATTGAATGAACAGTGTTTGAATGGACTGTGACAAATGTTACCTATGCATCCCTTAACAGCAGTATTGAAATGGTTCTTTTGATACCATTAATATTATTTTATTAATAGGATAACAGAGCTCTCTATTTCTCTCTTGTTTATGCTTTAGATATGAAGCCCCACAGATCGCCTTACGTTGTGGGATTATGCTGAGAGAATGTATCCGACATGAACCACTTGCCAAAATCATCCTCTTTTCTAATCAGTTCCGAGATTTCTTTAAGTATGTGGAGTTGTCAACATTTGATATTGCTTCAGATGCCTTTGCTACTTTTAAGGTAATTTTTTTTTAAAAATCAGCTAGTTCATTTAGTTTCAGCATTTAGTTAAAGTCAATTGGCCTCCAAAGAGACAGTTTAATTAAAACGCAGAAAAAGCTATTCCTGAGGCCTGAGTATAACCAACTGTGAATTACGACACAAACCGCAAGAGCATCGATAATGCATTCTATTAGACCAGTCTATCACATTGTGGAAAAAAACAACTCAAAATACTTGTCACACACTCATACAGAATGAATTACAATATATAAATGTAGTATTCTATGCAAAGCATGCTTTCATTTATGTTAAAAACAAAGGGTATAAGCTGTCACTTAAGGTGCACTGAGTACCTCTGGAGGGTTATCAGGGAAGCAGGAACAGTGTTTACCTGCAGGGAAAGGAACTGGGTAGCAAAGGGAGCTGGAGAATGATATCTTTGAACATGAAGGACATCACATTACCTTATCAATGTAATTATAAATTCCCCTACAGTGAAAGAAAATACTAAGAAATGATACTTTTTTCCATAATCATCTATATTCTTATAAACTTATAATCTACTGTTACTTATAGGTAATAAATTTAATCTTAGTTTTTAAATTAAAAATTTTTTTAATTGTTATAAAATAACATACAACATGAAATTGCCATCTTACCATTCTTTAGTGCACAGTTCAGTAGTGCTAAGTATATTCATATTATTTGTGCAACTAATATCTATTAGATAACAATGCTCCATTTCCCCCTCGTCCCAGTGTCTGGCAACCACCATCTACTTTTGGTTTTGGAATTTGACCATCAAAAAGATGTTTAGAGAGCATATTGGAAATAATGTAGCTAATTTGCAAACTAAAATACTAGAACTTATACATCCAATGAATGATATCACCTTAAAGGTCCTATCTTAGAAAACGATTTCCTTTTTCTTATGATCCTGCCATTATTTAATATATTTTGAAACTGGTATCATTTTCTGTGGCATGTTCATTTTTCAGTAATGTCAAATGTTTATCCTTCGAGGGCAGATAAAGTTTTGGAAACAGCACAAGGCTATTTGACATTCAGGTTCATGGGTCAAGTGGGTGATCTTGGTAGCTAGAACTGTTTTCGGTTTTGGTAATAATAATGAGATTGATAATAAAAATAAAATTTATTTTTAAATTTCTAAATAATAGTAAAATAATAAATAATAATAAAAATTCTAAAATAGAGTCTGATTTTCTTCAGCGCATACCAAATTGCCTCTGAAGATGATTTTAAAAGAGGAATTCTGAAAATATTTTAAGCTGACGATGTAACAGCATCATTGACCAAAAACAAAACAAAAGTCAATTACAAATAGATAAGACTCATTCAAATGTATATATTCAGATTTGTTTCTATAAAAGCATTTTGGGGCGACTGGGTAACTCACTTGGTTAAGTGACCGACTCTTGATTTCGGCTCAGGTCATGATCTCACAGTTCATGAGATCGAGCCCCATGTCAGCTCCACTCTGATGGCATAGAACCTGCTTGGGATTCTTTCTCTCTCTCTCTCTCTCTCTCTCTCTCTCTCTCTTTCTCTCTCTCTCTTTCTCTCTCTCTCTCTCTGCCTCCCTTTCTCCCTCTCCCTCTCTCTGCCCCTCCCCGCCCAGCAATCACTCTATCTCAAAATAAATAAACTTCAAAAAAATAAAATAAAAAGCATTTCAGCAATTTACTTGCTCCGTTTACATCATTCCAGATTTACTTCTACATTTTTTAGGATATAAATATATATTTTTACTTAATTGTAATACATGTATGGCTTTTTATTTTTATATATTACCTTAAATACTTATTTTAACAGTATTGACATAGTCCATATACCAATATTTGTAAATACTTTAATCTTATTACTTTATGTAAATGACTTGAAAGTTGTGTAGGACCTGGATGATAAGTAGTATCTTTTTTTCTAACGTTTATCTATTTATTTCAAGAGGGAGAGAGAGTACACATTAACAGGCAAGGGAGGGGAGAGAGGGAGGAAGAGGTTGGGGCTGAACACTAAGGAGAGTTGCCTGGTGGGTGGAGGAAAGCATAGCAAGGGCGACAAGCATGGGTGTGTGCTCAGAGTGCTGTCAGACCTGGAGCCTGTTCTGTTTGACAGGCTACTTGGTCTCACCCAGCAAAGCAAAAGTATGGTGGCTACAGATGAACCTCCCAAAGTATATCTAACAGCACATGGTGAGAGAGGCCTTGATGCATGAAATCTGTTGAATGACATTTAACACAAAAGAGGATTCCATTTCTTCCTGGCAAAATGTCTGTGCCTAGATAACTAAGGAGATGTTTTCTATTAATAGCACAGTACCGTTCTTTCCCCCTTTTCTATCTGATAACTCTGCTATCATGGAAACAAAGTTGGCTCCTTTTTTGAAAGACTGTATGTAAGTGAAGCTTCACAAATAATTATAAACAAAGAACAAACTCTAACGGAGGGAAAAAGTAAATAGAAACGTATGTACTTTTCAAAATTTCCCCAAAGATTTTTCAGCGTTTAATAGAATAAACTATATTGATAATGTCTTGCTATCATATGTTCAACCCAATTTAATTTTCAGTACAGTTTGGATATCAAAAGTAAATTCATGTTTCAATTTGTACCTCAGCATATTTTCCATTGAACTTAAGTCAAGCGTCTGAAAATCTAAATAACCATAAAAAGTTTTATAGTGTGCTAACAATATTGGAAATGCCAACTTTATGTATTTTTCCAAAATGCTGTGGTTAATATAGTAGAACAGTGACCATAAGTCACTTTTTCTTTTTAGGTAGATGGCTGAGGGGTTTTGGTTGTTTGGTTGGTTTGGTGTTGGTCTGATTTTAATTTGGTTTTATATTTTGTTTTTAACCTCTTAGACTTACCTTTTTTGTTTTGAGCTCCAACAGCCCTCTGGCTGTTGCCCAGTCTAATCATTAATGTTTTAGCACTGTTTATATTTTTGTGGCAGTGTTGTCTACAAATTGTCCTTTCCCCAAAAGCACACCTAACAATCAGAATTTCTTCCATCCCTCCTTCCAAGAATGGACATGACAGAAGGGGTCTGAATTCCTCCTCCCTCTGCCACCTGACTGGCACTATGTCCTTGAGCAAATAGTTAACCTTAGAGTTTCGTTTTCTCATCTGTGAGATGAAGAAAACAATCCCTGCTTTGCAGAGTTGCTGTGAAGATTAGAAATAATGTGTGTAAAGTGCTCTGCATGCTTCTGGGCTCATGGTAAACCCTCCATAAATGGCAGCTGCTGCCTGGCCCATCAACTGCCATGTCCCTGCCATTGAGTGTGTCTCTGTCACTCCACCCCGTGTCTCCCAAGCTGTGCAGAAGTCACTCCCATATCAATATCAGATAATCTTTAGCATAATACCTAGACTATGCAAAGCTTAGTCTTGTAAAAACAGAATTGTGAAGAGGTGGGATGAAAGGGTACACTGTTTCAAATAATATTTAAAATTGTATTTTATTAAAAACATTTTTTTTAACGTTTATTTATTTTTGTGACAGAAAGAAAGACTGTGAGTCGGGGAGGGGCAGAGAGAAAGGGAGACACAGAATCAGAAACAGGCTCCAGGCCCTGAGCTGTATGCATAGAGCCCGAAAGGCAGATGCTGAACCCAACTGAGCCACCCAGGCGCCTCAATTGGTTTTAAAATTTTGAATTATTTAAAATTTGAACTTTACTTTTCTTTGCAACTTTCTGCTTTTTCCTTTTTGGGTAGGATCCTACCTGTTTTATTTTTCCCACTGTTCTATGATCTACAATGATGCAGCAATTATATTTAGTTTTGTATTATATGTATATATGCATGGGTGTATGTATAGACTGTTCCTCCAGTTGTGTGCACGTATTTATTATGAACAGAAATTTGAGGGTATAGCTATGAATATACACACACGAGTGTGAGAGAAAGTGTGTGTGTGTGTGTGTGTGTGTGTGTGTGTGTGTGTGAGAGAGAGAGAGAGAGAGAGAGAGAGAGAGAGAGAGTCATTTACTGGCTGTACCCACCATGTACCTGTGCTAGAGGAATTCTACCCCACCTTATTTTATTTTTCTATTATTGGATATGCAAGTTATTTCAAGTTTTCCCCCCCTTGGAATTTGAAGTTGCTGCTACTAACAGGACTCCCTCCTGATGCCTCTGTCTTTGGAGTACCACTAATGCACAGTGAATGGAAACCTTCCCACGCAGCGCGTATCTGCACAGCGCTCTGTCTGCTGCTGTGCAGACCTGTAGCCATGAGAGCACACAGTCCCCACGCTCAAGCCTGCCCACTGTTGTTACAGGCAGATCCAGTGTCTGCGCAGCCCTTTCTAACCGGGGTCAGCTCTGAAAATCACTGATACTCTGAGGAGGTTAGGGAAGCGGGTGTGCGAAAACTAGGGACCCTAAAGAATGCCGTGGGACTACCTTATTCTTCTGGGGGCCCCGGATACAGGAACTCATTTGAATTTTGACCTCAGACAGACCAGGAATGAATTGCTGTAGAGGGGTTTCCCATTTTAAAATTCCAGTTCCAGAACAGTACTGAATGTTCTACTGGGGAAAAAAAAGTACAGCTTTCCACTGATAGGCTCAGTGGTCACTCAAGATATGATGATAAGTAATGAAATGAAATCAACAGCTAGTCTCATTGTTCTTGAACTTGAAAATTACAGTGCAAAATGCTTTAAATATTTTACTTGGTATTAAAATAGAAACAGGTGAGTTTTGCCATTGCTGCTACCTTCCTGTTCTCTGTGAATTTATGTTGTGGATCTTCTATATGCTTTTAGGTAGTTTTAATTAAATGTGTATTAAAGTATAAGAACTTATTTTGGAAAACTTTAAAATTCTTGTTATGTTTTTAATTAAATTCTACATTCTACCTAGACAGGGTATTTAGCCTGTAAGCGTATAAAAGGGATTAGGTGAGGCTTGTTTTCTTTCAACATTAAGGTGAATTAAGGATATAATTTAGGTGTGAGTTGAAGACAGTCAAACGTTCCTTTATGTTTTTGTTCAGTTTTCTGAGAGCTATGCCTGTCATAAGACCAATCTGCTTGTCTTCAGCTTTGAAGGCGGGCATTGTGCTACTTAGTCACCGCAGTCCTTGCACAGCACCTCACAGCCCATCAACCCGGGGCAGGCGGATCCTGGGATGGCATAGTTAAGTGTCATTCTTGTGCTTCTCAGCAGCCTAGGCACCTCCATTTTAAACATGGTTAAGGAAAAAAACCTAAAGGTTGACATTCCTGAAAATCTTTTAAGTTAACTAATGAGATACAGTTTTAAGACATTCAGAATTCTTTAAAAAAAAAAAAAAAAAGCTATCGGGGGCACCTGGGTGGCTCAGTCGGTTAAGCATCTTGACTTTGGCTCAGGTCATGATCTTACAGTTTGTGGGTTCGAGCCCCATGTCAGGTTCTGTGCTGATGGCTCAGAGCCTGGAGCCTGCTTCAGATTCTGTGTGTCCCTCTCTCTGCCCCTACCCCACTCTCACTCTCTCTCTCAAAAATAAATAAGCATTTAAAAAATTAATATATATATATATATATATATATATAGCTATTAACAATATTTCAAAAAGATCATCATACACTTTATTTGGATTTTATTATATCATAATCACAGGGTAGCCATGGCCTGAAGAAATATACTGTAGACCCCCTCACACAGGTGCCATCTGTTTCACTAAATTATTCCTATCATAAATCTAACAATGATATGAATTAAAACACTTTATTGTTTTTAACATGAAACACATTTGCATTTCACATCTTTTTTTTTTTTTAATTTTTTTTTTTCAACGTTTATTTATTTTTGGGACAGAGAGAGACAGAGCATGAACGGGGGAGGGGCAGAGAGAGAGGGAGACACAGAATCGGAAACAGGCTCCAGGCTCTGAGCCATCAGCCCAGAGCCCGACCCCGGGCTCGAACTCACGGACCGCGAGATCGTGACCTGGCTGAAGTCGGACGCTTAACCGACTGCGCCACCCAGGCGCCCCTGCATTTCACATCTTAAAGTAAGAATGGAAATAATTTTGTGGTATAAAGAAAATATTCTTCAGAAACTTTTATGTTTCAAGTGACTGGACTTACATAATTCTTAGAAGGAAATACCAGGTTTGTAAAATTTATTAGCTATAATAATTTTATTTCACTTAACTGTTCTTTTTCTAGGATTTACTAACGAGACATAAAGTGTTGGTTGCAGACTTCTTAGAACAAAATTATGACACTGTAAGTAGAAGTCCTTTTTAAGATTTTACCTCTTTCTCTCTTCTCCCCTCTCTCTCCTTCTTAGATCTATGGATACTGGCTCCTATTTGTGATCCACAACAGACACCAACCATAGTCCACCATGCGCCCAATTTGTCCATTTACCTGGAAGTCAGGTCATCAGGAAACTGTGGAAAATTGAGGGCTTTCTTATTTTTCACACCTCTTCCTGTTGTATCAGCTCCAAAAAAAGACTGGTACCTGCTCACTTTGATCGTGATTTAAGAGCATCCATGTTGCCCTTATGAGGCAGTAGGTAGGGGCACCTGGGTGGTTCAGTCAGTTGAGCATCTGATTTCAGCTCAGGTCATGATCTCACGGTTTGTGAGTTTGAGCCCCACATTGGGCTCGCCACTGTCAGCGCAGAGCCCACTTCAGATCCTCTGTCCCACCTCTCTGTCCTCCCCTGCTCATGTTCTCTCTCAAAAATAAACAAACACTTAAAAAAAGAAGAGGCAGTAGGTAACCATAAATGGAAGAGCACTCCACCCTCACTAAAAAATAAATCATTTTACTTGCTTGATAATTAGTTTTACTTACTAGTAGAAATACCAGTTCCCTTCTCAAATGGTGAATCCAGCCCATCCTTTTGAGATTGAGCTGAAACATGACTTTTCTAGGAAGCTTTTCCTAATCCCACCTGTCCACATGCATGCATGCACAATTCCCCCGCCCCCACTGTTCACGTTGTATTATTATGGAGTGTCTGTACCTTCCTGGCTGGTTCCTGAGCTCCCTGAGAAGCAGGAACCCTGTCTGTCAAACACAGGGTTCAGAGCCTGCTTGCCTGGCTTCAAGACCCAGCTCTGCCTCTTATTAATTGTGTTACTTTGGGTAAGGTAATTTGGGTAATTTTGCACCTACTGCAAAATGAAGATATTAATAATACCTACCTCATTGGGTTGTTTGTAGGAATTTGTAAAGATTTGGAACAATTTTTTTAGGATAATACCATATTAATCCCTCAGTATTAATTTTTGTCATTATTACTTGTATCCCTAATACCTAACTCAATGCCGTACAATGGTGGTGTTCAATGAGTATTGGATAAATAGATATATCCAAGAACAGCTATGCTTTTGCTAAATACATAAGCAAGAGTAACAGCATGATTAAAATAAACATGGCACAAACCTAAAACCACAAATCTGGATCTAGTGTTGGTTCAGATGCTCTAGACCAGTGATGTCCCACTGAAATAAAAGCCACTGTATAATTTAAAAATTTGTAGTTAGCTACACAAATAGGTAAAAGGAAACACATGACTCTGAAGATACAGAATACCCTCCCTGTCACTTTCTTATAGCTTCACACGTCCAAATCACAGAAATTCAACTATGTCTCTTTTATTCATATATTGTTTACATATCTTCCTTTGAGATTAAGAATTAGCAGGGGCGCCTGGGTGGCTTAGTCGGCTAAGTGCCCAATTTTGGCTCAGGTCATGATCTCATGGTCCGTGGGTTGGAGCTCTTCTGTCAGCTCAGGGCTGTCAGCTCAGAGCCTGGAGCCTGCCTCAGATTCTGTGTCTCTCTCTGTGCCCCTCCCCCACTCATTCCCCCCCTTCAAAAATAAACATTAAAAAAAATAATTAGCAATGTAATCATGAAGTCAAAATTGATTTTCATATCCTAAAATTATCAAGAAAATATTTGTGGGATCAACTGGAGTACTTAGATCTAAATGCAAAACATGAAGGGAGAATAATTTTTATTGCCAGCAATACCCAAAAGCTTCTAGACCAAAAGAAAATGGCATATTTTTAAACTAAGGAAATGAGCTATTATTATAGTTTGGTTGATCAGAAACTGCAGATGCTAGATGGAATGTTAGAGACTCATTAGATGTACCTTATAATAAGTGAAAACAAGAGAGCTAAGATAGTTTATTACAAAACCCGTGGTATCAGCTACTGATCTTTTCTATAGAATGAGTGATGTAAATGTGTTGAGTAACACTGCTTTGCATTCAGGACATAGTACATAACAATTTGGGAGACTGTAAACTCATTCTCCTTGATCCCTTATTTACCGAATTTTTTTCTTTGTATCTATAGTCACTTCTTGTGTAATTTGGTAGCTTCACAGACACGGAGGCTGCTGCACCAACCTGAACACCAGCTCTGAGAGCTCATGCCCCCTCAGATATTTCATACTTCCTGAGTTTCATATTTTTTTGGCAGTAAACCATGAGATGGGAGCACACTGATATATGACTCTAAAATAATGAAACTGGCATCTTGGGGAATGTCATACCTTATACATGTGTTTGAAGTTTCTGGTTACATATGATTTCACTCATATGTGGAATTTACAAAACAAAGGGAATGAGAAAAGAAAGAAAAAATAGAGAGAGACAAACCAAGAAACATACTCTTAATTGTAGAGAACAAACTGATGGTTACCAGAGGGGAGTTAGGTGGGGAGATCGGGGAAATTGGAGTTGGGGATTAAGGAGGGCACCTGTCCTTACGAGCACCGAGTGATGTGTGGAGGTGTTGAATCACTATATTGTACACGTGAAACTAATATAACACTGTATGTTAACTAAATTGAAATTAAAATTTTTAAAAACTTACCACAAAGTTTGATAAATTTAATGTCCCACAAAATCCTCTTCAGTTTCATGACAGAATAAATTAAACTTACTGTTTAGTACAAACAATAAGCCCTTCATATAAAAGAGTCTAATTATTATGACTTTACTGTGAACTAGATGCTTTCTTTTTAATATTTATTTATTTTTGCGAGAGAGAGACAGAGGAGAGGGAGGAGGGGCAGAGAGACGGCGGGGGCGGCGGGGGTGGGTGGAGTGGAGGGGGGTGGTCAGAGGACTGGAAGCAGGCCCTGTGCTGACAGCAGAGAGCCTGATACGGGACTCAGACTCAGGAACTGTGAGATCATGATTTGAGCCGAAGTCCAACACTTAGCTGACTGAGCCACACAGGTACCCCCCAATGTTTTTACTTTCCACTTTCTTAATTCCCAGTTGGTAATTATCATCTGTGTGCACTGCTTGCCCTCACTGCACACGTGCACACACACCTCACCCTCAACCCTCTGAGGACCAGGACTGTTTTCCACCCTCCTCAGCCCCTGGACTCTCCTGCTTCAGTTCTCTGTGGGACTCACTCCTCCCACCTCAGTGGTCCCTGAAGCATGTCCTTGCCTGGTGGGAGGTTGACGCTGAGCTTCCCCCACCTGTGGCACTCTATGTGAAACTAAAGGGCCCAGTAGTGGAGAGTGGTTGACAGGCACACTGGGAAACGGGGGCCTCGAACACCAGCATCCTCCAGCTTCTGGGGACAGGGAAGTCCTCCAGAGAGGCCAGCTGGGATTAGATTAGCATGGCCATTGTGCAGCAAAAGTTGCCCCGTTTCTCTATGTGTCCGCTATGAACTTGACACTTTGATTCTTTATGGGGTACCAAGTGGAGCTCTAAGTATATTTAATCTTTTCCTAAATTATTCATGCACTAGTAGCTACCAGCAAGGCTACCTGAACAAATGACATGAAATGTGTTATTTTGCTACCCACTTAATAGATGAATTAGTAGATCTTTTATTCAAAAGGGTTTATTTGAGAGGACTCAAATACTCCATTTTTCTACTCAATTTTTAATTTTCAGAACTAAAGTAGCGAAGTGCATCTGTTGTTTCACTTGACCTCCGTATCCCGCTGTGTCTTTATGTGTAAAGGATGGTGAACTGGGAACCTCCGGGTGGACAGTGTGATCAGCATGGCGTTCAGCACATTGATGCAGAGCACAGCAGCTGGGCCGTGCTGGCCTAGTGGGCTGGGAATTTACTTTTGAAGCAAGAGAGTAATAAGCAAACCTAAAGCAGAGGAACCACTGCTGGTGTTACACTCTAATATTTGTTTTCTTTTCATTAGATTTTTGAAGACTATGAGAAATTGCTTCAGTCTGAGAATTATGTGACTAAGAGACAATCTTTAAAGGTAATATCAAATTGCTTAAGTTAGTCTGTGTTGGTTGATGTTTTGTTAGTAAATGATGGCCTCTTAGTGGACAAAGTACATATGGGAAAAATTAAAGTGTCCCCCCCCCACTTTATTTTTGTAACTTGAAAAGTATGCTTCATGTTATGACTGTACTTTGTAGCAAAACAATGTTGTGTCCTGCCTCGACTACTTTTTGGAAGTAATAACATAAAAATAGTAAGTGCATGATAAAGTAGAATTTCGTATATTTCAGCTCAGAAAGAAAGTCAAACCTAAGTTAATTTAAATAAAACCACAGTTCTCTCCTAAGGGGATATTTTCTGGAGATGAAAAGAAATCACTCTTAGCTTGAAACTAAGATCTGAATTACTGTTTATAAGGAAGAAACAGCAAAGTTCTCCTGTAGTTCTCTCTCTCTTTTTTTTAATGTTTATTTATTATTTTTGAGAGAGAGAAACAGAGTGTGAGCTGGGGAGGGGCAGAGAGAGAGGGAGACACAGAATCTGAAGCAGGCTTCAGGTGCTGAGCTGTCAGCACAGAGCCCAATGCGGCTTGAACTCACAAACCCAGGGCTTGAACTCACAAACCGTGAGATCAAGATCTGAGCCAAAGTCCAGTGCTTAACCGCTTAACTGACTGAGCCACGCGGACACCACTTCTGCAGTTCTCTTTCAGTGTATCTTGAAACAGAAACCAAAATGACCGTATTTTTCTTATACATCTATATAATGTAGACTTTGTAGGGTATTTTTCAGAGAAGGGGGGAAGAAAAGGTGACATTGACAATATATAACATATCAAATGCAAGATTAAAGTTTCCCTCTAAGTTTATGACATTACTGGAGAAATTCTGGATATATTTTCAATTGAGAGGGAAGACAACTTTCCACTATGAAATGGTGCTTATAGAACTGAAACATTATGGGGCTCCTGGGAAGCACTTACCCCCAGATTTGTAACATATTTTTCTAAAGATTTGTTTTTTAACTGCATTGCATTACTGGGTTCCATTCTCTGAGCATTCTTGTTAGCGTTTTACTACAGGTCATTTTTAGAGGTACCTCCACCATTTAACATGTTCAAACTGTATTTCCAACAAAGATGCTGAAATATGAAACATGCTTATTCTTTAAGAGTTAAAAGAATAATCTTTAATAAAGTGGCTGTAATAAACAGATATGTGAGAAGACTACATGATCAAGAACACAAAACTGTGCTTTTCTAAAAATTGCCAGTATTACACCAAAACAGACTCTGGAAAGAGGTCAAAAGATGATATCACTAGCTGGAAAAGAAAGTAAAGTCAATGCTCAATTATCTGCAAATAGCTTTAGTTGGATGAATTATTGGGGGTGATGAGAGGGGTAAAAGGGCACTCCATTTGGCCAACAAATATTTATGTGCTCCTATTCCTGACATTACGGTGACAGCCAAGAACAAAATGAAGTCGCATTTCAATGGACCTTACATTCTGCCAAGGAGAACAGACAATTGATAAATAAACAGATAAAAATGAAATTTTCAGGTGATTTTAGAACAGTTATGCAGGGCAAAAGGGCAGGAAGTGATGAATGAAGGGATAAATGTGTGTGTGTGTGTGTGTGTGTGTGTGTGTGTGTGTGTGTAAACAGTGGCATTTACTATTGGAGAGTATATCACCTATGAAATACCTGTGCAAGTTTGCTTTCCCTCATGAGGCAGGAAGCCCAGCAGAGTACGGCCGCCACGTAGTCGGTGAGTGGCCTTCCCTCCTTCAGTGAAACAGTGCCTGGAAGCAGCCATTTGGCCAGGAGGAGGTGGGGCTGCCCCTGTGGGAATAGAACATGAGTTAGAGCTGTGTCCCTACCCTTCAGATCTCACTCAGATATTCTAAAGAATGTTTTTGGCAGATAATAATTGGCTGGTTTTGTCAAGCAGTTTGTATGATTTGGGGGCTTACTAAATATCACCTGTATTATTTTTACATGTTGGGATGACATATAGAACAATGTGTTTATTTCTAAATATTGAATACAGTTTTTTTTTTTTAATTTTTTTTTCAACATTTATTTATTTTTGGGACAGAGAGAGACAGAGCATGAACGGGGAAGGGTCAGAGAGAGAGGGAGACACAGAATCGGAAACAGGCTCCAGGCTCTGAGCCATCAGCCCAGAGCTCGACGCGGGGCTCGAACTCACGGACCGCGAGATCGTGACCTGGCTGAAGTCGGACGCTTAACCGACTGCGCCACCCAGGCACCCCTTGAATACAGTTTTAACTAAAGTGATGACATAAGCCCATTTTGTATCACATTTTTGTCAGTTCATTTTACCCATGATTTTGCCTTAGCTGTGACCTGCCTTCCCCTATATTTGTGCCCTCGCTGCTCCAATGGTACCCATTGCTGGAGGGGTCAGTGAGCTATTTTCAGCCAGTCATTCAGCACCTTTTTATTGAGTTTCCCCTTGCATGGAAACCCGTACAAGCTGATCTGTGTAGAAAATATACCATGGTTTCACTGCTCTTTTTCTGGAGCCTGGACTGTTGAGATGGAGCTTCCAACAGAGGCAGTGACATTATGCCATGCTCTCCCAAGTCCAGAAAGCTTGTTAAAAGCAGCTGAAGATAAGGCTGCATCCTGTTGGCATACCTGTGTAGTACCTAAAGAATAGAATTCCCTATTTGCTAAGGCTCCACAACGACAGCCAAAACAGAGGAGCTGCTGCTCTGTATTATAAGAGATCATTGCCCTTGGAGGGAAGTAGAAATTGAATAGGAAACAGAGACAACAGTGCTCTAAGGGGCCAGCATGTAAGAAATAGCTCATACATTTTCCAAATCCTTCCTCTTTTTAGTGAGAATCTATGACACCCTGAACCAAAGTAGCGACATTGGTATGAACTAAGGTGATGGGACTAAAGTGGGATCCAGAAAGGTGAGGGTCATAGACTTTAGAGTTTATCTTTGTGCCATTTTCAGCAGTGACAGGAATTCATGATAGAAATTTTTCTGTGATCGACGATCTCTAGAGCCTTAGGTGAAGTTATAAAGTAACAGTTGTTCATCTAAACATCTGGGCCTTCTTCCTGTTTTTTCTGTCATGCTACCTTATCATCTCCTACCCATGGGCCCATTGCCCTCATTCTGTTCTCAAGCCCCACTTTGTCCTGTCCCCTTGTTAATAGACATAAAGTGGTTAGAGCAGAGCCTAGCTCATGTTAAGAAGTAGATATTTGTTCAATAAGATAAAAATAAATTTTATAAGTAAATATTCCTCTTCTGTCCTCAGTGCTCAATCTCTAGAACGTGGTCTATTCTAAATAAATAATTGAGACTAGGGTATGAATTAGACTGATACCCTAGCAGGATGCATTTGCATTTGAAAACAGAAGCAGTGGATATGTGATTGGTACAATCTGTAATACAAATCTGGTGGGTAGCACAGGGGAGTGAGAAGGTCCATTCTTCACTGCTGTCTACTGCTCCCCCTCCCCCCCTCCACTGTTCTGCCCCCTTCTCACATGGCTCTGAGGCTAGACACCTCTACTCTATTTCCAGCGACACAGGCAAGGAGCAACTGAGTTTGTATCTGGTATTGAAACTCTCCCTTTTCCACCTGATTGTGCTTCCTACTTATTCACAGATGCCCCAGCCCATGCAGAAGGCCTCTTTCCTGTTCTTTATTAATCCAGCCAGATGTACTACATTGGCTGCTACTCTTGCCTAAAATCTTTTATAGTGGAGTATCTCATAAATGTTTTGTTTACAGTGTGATAAAACTGAGCACTGGTGATAAAACAAAACAAAATGAAAACTAGTAAAAGACATATAAAGCAGGGTGCCTGGGTGGCTCACTTGGTTAAATGTCTGACTCTTGATTCCGGCTCAGGTCATGATCTCACAGTTGTGAGTTTGAGCCCTGCATTGGGCTCTGCCCTAAGTGTGGAGCCTGCTTAAGATTCTCTCTCTTCTTGCTGCACACGTAGAAAACTGATTTGAGGATTAACACAACAATCTGCACAACCCGAACCACAGAACTCAGCAGGTACGCAGCACAGAGAGGTGAACTGAGGGAGAGAGAAGCCGCAGAGGGCAGGGAGGTGTTTTTGCTTGTGGAGAGAGGACAGAGACGGGATGGGGGTGGGGTGGGGGGTATTATGGAAAAAGCACTCTCCCCCAAAAGCAGTTGGAGAAAAAGTGGGAAAATGGAAACGGCCACAGGGACTGAACTAAAAAGGGAGAAAGGAGAAAGGAGAGGGTTTAAATTCCATTAAGACTCTCTAAACAGGGGGGAGCGCAGACTCTGAAATTCTGCAGCTCAATACCTGGCAGTGCTCTGGTGAGAAGGGCAAATCCTCAGGAGCAGAGTGAAGTCAGGGGTCTTCGGGCCACACGGGGAAAGGTGGTTCCCCTGCTGGGGAGGCTGTGCGGCCACCCGGTCCCAGCAGACCCCAGAGGACAAACACATTCGCTACTCCAGGAACAAGGTCATTAAAGGTGAAGCGTGGTGCCAGAGGTGTGTTGTGATTTTCCGTAATCCCTGAAACGCTGCTGCTACACTATTTCGTGAACTTTTTCTGGGGCGGGCTGGCACCTGGCCGCAGTCTCGGGGCACCAGCAGCAGCGCAATTCCGCGAAAAGTTCCTGGGTGCAGCTGGCACCCAGCCATTGCTCGGTGAGATCCTCCCCCAGAGGGTCTGAGCCGGTTAAAAGCCGCAGTCCCTCAGAAGTGAGGAGTCGGGAAGCACAGCTGATCTGAGATAAAACTCAGGAGGGAGGTGCCGCCTGGCAGCCTGAAGGCTTGGTCACAGACAGTGTAAAAGCAGGGAGTGCTCCAGCTTCTGGAGACAAAGGACAGGTGCGCGATTGCTGGTCGGGTAGAGCAGAGTTCCGATTTGGAGATTCGGTTCCCGCGTGACGCCATTTTTGCCACTCCCGCGCATGGGCTTACGCACCTACAGGCACCACAACACTCCACACCAGGAAGCTAAGCAGCGCCATCTAGTGGAGAATGGAG